CCATTCAGCGAAAGCTGGGTGTTGGGCACCTGCTGGGTCCACCGCAAACACGTGTTGCTCTTCGTCCCTTTGGGGGAAGTGTATGTTGTTTGTAGAGCACTTGCGGTGGTGCAGACGGTTGCCTTTTGATCTGGTTGATAGATCGGCGCTCTCGGTCGCGACGTGACCGCGGTTCGCATCTTCGTAGCAGTGGCTGCCCATGATGGGGTAAGCTGGGGCTAGACTATGCCTGAGGCGTTTCTCGTCCGTATCTCCCAATGGCTAGATTTGGGCGTCGGTGGCAATTGTGTATACGGACTCGTAGATCCCGTTAATCTCGGCGACTAATCAGTGAGTCTGGTGGAGAGTTGTTATTCGTTACATGCCAGAACGCCGCGGCAGTCCTCTAAACACCAGCCGGGGCAGCATCATGAAAGTGAAGCGATTGTTGCGGCCGGGAATTGTCGAAGGACGTCGGCAGGTGAGGCAGGGGCTGCGGGCGAGCATGTTTGCGACATCAACGTGTCGATCGAACGACTCGAGGGAAAAACTGTGGATCGAAGTGTGTAAAGAGCATGGCTTGTCGCCATTTGCCATTACTAGCGAGTCCCTGGAGACGCGGCGGCTTGTTCCCACAACTCGCTGCCCGGGTTCTCACTCGGAGGTGTAGAGAGCCTGTCTACAGAGAGTGGAACGGCCCCTCAAGCGAGGGCTGGGGAATCCCAGCCGAGCTAGACCGGTAAGCCCGACGGAACTGAGAGCAGTGCTGCTCGATGCCCACAGCCCACAGGAGAAACGCAGAGCGGCTAGCTACATTCTCGGGAGCTGGTTCCTGTTGAGGAGAGCAGTGGAGGAGGGAAACAAAAGAGTGGAACTGATATCCACTGGATATTATCCAGGGAGTAGGTGTGAGTAGGGAGCATGGGTGTACGTGCGTACAGGATATCGGGGGAAATCGACCATGAGCTTTGCCCCATAAGAGCAGCTCGAATACTGCTGGATATGAGGCGGATAGAGTATGGGTCTGCGGAAGATCAGCTTCTAGTTGATGCTCTAGCCTCTGCGGAAATCAACTTCACGAGAGTGGTTACGAAGAAACTTGGAGATGGCAGGGATTCGTGGGCCGACCGTTTTGTGCTTGCACAGTCTGCGACGGGGTGGGTGCCACATGCTGGCAAGAGCTGGTTTCGAACGCAGCCAAATCAGAGCGTTTGGACGGTGGTCCAAAGACTCGTCATGCATCGACATATACATCGGAGAGGCACTCCTTGTAATGAGCCCAACCTTTGCCGGATCGGTCTTGCGGGCGAACGAACAGCTGCAGCAGGTGCGAGATGGGAGTTTCCGGATGCGGTCCGGGTCATCGGCGATGGAGCTCCCCACATGCCGCAGAGACGGTGAGCACAGAGATTCGATGGAGACCAGAGAGGCAGGGTTCATAGTTCTCAACCAGGAGAGCGAGGGCTGGCCGCAGATGGTGTCAACTTCGAGCAATGTTGCGAATCATTGGCTCAGAAGGGGCCCTGACCCCTTCTGCTGGCAGCAGCTGCAGACGACGCCTGATTCAGCACGGGCATGGTTGCGCCGTATGCAATTGATGTGATGGCAGAGCTGACTGATAGCAGTAGGAGTTGGGTTGATTCAGCCCAACAGCTCTCTTGTGTTGCAGAAAGTAGAAACAGATCTAGATCATTCAGGAATTCCTCATCTCAGCGGTAGTGTGTCACTGTGCCCCCATCATGCCAGTGATGATCCGGATCCCTTGTTGGGTGAGGCAGGTCCCTTGGTGAGTTGGATGATTGTGGATCTGCTGATGGCAGAGATCATGGCTCCACTCTCCATCGGGACCTCGCGGTATCACGGATCATTTCATGGCCCAAGGGCGGGATCGTCGAGTTCGACAAGTGGGTGGGACTGCGATGAGCGAGGTGCTTTGCACTTTGGTAACATCAGGATGTGATTAGACTTTGGTAGCAAGTTGAAAACATCTTCTGATGACAAACTCATCATCAAGCGCAGATGCAAGTGTTGGGTTTCTCACCGGGGTGAACGGCGTGACCAAGAGGATGCAGCCATTTTACTCTGAATCATCACGTGAATCAGAATCCTTATAACAGCCACTGTGTGTGATTTTCTGGTTCCCGAGGACACCACTCCGATGAGAAAACCTGCGAAACTAGTGTTAGTCGCTGTGACGACTTGCTACATAAGTCACGTACTCACCCGTAGCAACACAGTAGCTAATAACAAGACTTGAGCTCGAGTTGCTTGATCAAGGTTATGACGGACTTGAACATATCTCCTCTCTCTCGCCGAAACTCTTCGAACTTATGTTCACTTCCGAGCCGTAGAAATTCTCACAAGATGATGATGACTCGGTACCTGCCTCTGCAAGCCATCATCTCCAGCACTAGCATTCTCGTACTTCTACCACAGCAGTCGACACTACAATAGTGTATACCTGGGGATCCAACCTTGCTGGTCAATTTGAGGACCTTGTCATCCTCAGCCCAGTAATTCTCATTAGTAGGAGACCTTCATCCTCCTGTTCTTCAACCTGCGAGATTGAACACTACAGTTTAACAGTCGCTTTCATATCGGCCTCTGAAACTCAGAACTATTCTACTCTAGAGAATCCTCTGTAGATTCGTCGTCGGGCTACATGCTTGCCTCACATCGTTGCCAGTTGAGTTGCACTTGTAACAGACACGTCAACAGAGAGCTCCGTGTCGGGTCATCTAGTTGGCTCGAGTGCTGCCACAATGAACCGACAGAGCGAGCAAGACCCTTCTCGCATGATCGACCTTTCACGCGATAAACTCCGGAGAAGCCATTCTAGTCTACAGGTTCAGTCCACCGAACAGAGATATGATTTACTCTGAAGTTGTGCATAACCAAAATGAGCTTAGAATTGGCTGCTTACCGAACTACCCGGATCGTCTTCTCCCGAGATCGGGCAAGATTCAACTCCGGAAGAGATCCAGCCAACTGTACGAAGCGGATTTCATGCCTTCCGTATTACTCTCCAGTTCCCATACACCAAATACCAAAATTTAGCCCGTGTTCACCGAAGCATCATCATGTGAACAATTATTTTTGGTAAATATCGTTGTAAAATACGCAGTGCTTCTAAAACTCGTCAATCGTTTCACGTTGTTGCCATGTTGATCTTACTGAAAGCTGACCTCCCAGCTGTTGAAATTGAACTGGTTCATCATCAGAACAGATGACAGTTTGAGTCGTATTATATACTGCCTATTCGGAGACAGTAATCATTATGAACAGAAGCCACTCAGTGGTTTCGACCGAAATAGAACCTTTTGGAGGAATTTCGCTCTCTATCGTCGAACTAACTTTCTCACTCGCTGACATAATGCATTTACGTAAGCTCAGGCGCCCAATCGAATTCCTCACCCCCATGCGTAGCGGCTATATTCGCCGAATAGATTCCTGAATGATGTAACCTGATTCCACATGTTCCTCTTTCCCAGAGAAGTCCACCATCACTCAGCCACGTCACCATAAATTTTTGTATTCATATTAATGAATAATCACGTGAGATTGAGACTGGAATACCTATAATGTGAGAATACATAGTCAGCCGCCTCA